AAGATTTTTCCAAGCCTGTGTATCCTCACAGTCCATCATACTTTCTTGAAATTGAGCCTATTATAACCATGGAAAGCCAAGGCTGGAAGAGGTTTTGAGGTCACTGAGTGCAACTCCTGCTGTCACAAGTGTTGCTCATCAGAATCTTCATTTTTACAGTTATTCCTTCTACAGAAGCTGCCTTTGCTTTGAGGTTTTGCTTTGAGGACAGTAAAGTCCAGTTAGAGGTCTCCCAAAGCAAAGATTTATGTATTTTGTTTTTCAGTTGGTTATTTGTGTTGAGTAGTCTCTTTCTTACTTTAGCTTCAGCATAAGGTACTTGGGAAAAAAATAGAGCTGCTTGTAGTTTCAATACTAATTTAAGAGCATGGGCAAGTGACCAAGGATTTTGCAGAATACAGTTTGCTCTCCAAAGGAATCTGAGAGCATAAGAGGAGAACAGAGTGAGGGAGTTACTTTGCAGAAGAAGGTCAATCCACTATTGATCCAAGCAGGATCTTTAAAATAGGACTGCTGTGCATTTTTGGGTAGCACACAGCCCCTGGTTGGCCTATGGCACAGTAAAGGATTTCTCTCCAAGTACTATAATATTTCCTCCCTATGGGAAGTGCTGAAGAAAATAAAATGAAACAAAACCAGAAGTGAAGTGAATGCAAAACTCCCAAGTCCCGCAATAAGCACTTGCGTAGCCTAAATAAAAATCTGTGTCAGATAAGCCATGACCTAATTTTCAGATCTGAGCTTTGAGGAGTTTGAGTTCAGGCCAATTTCACGGAGGTGAAGTCTGATTGCAATCCTGGTTTCAAAGTCTTCACAGCTTTGTTGAAGTACAGATCCAACTCTGTAATCTCTGGTACTAAACTTGATCTGATTTTGGTTTGCTGCCCCTGGGTGAGTTTGGATGGAAGTGAACTGCACTGGCTTAGATGGAAGTGTATTGCATTGACTCGAGTTCTGTTTAAGTCCCTATTAAAATTTTCTACAGCAATTAAGAAGAGCCAGAATTAAGCCAGCAATATACATTTTTTCCTATCAACCAAGATTCTGAGTAATAGTATATATTGACTCCCATAGATGCTCCTTAGCCAAGCAGAAAAACAGTTTAAGAGTGCAACTTTTTCGGTGTCTGAGAAGGGCCAAGAAACCTCAACAGAGCAGACTTGCTTGTGAGATTGCCAGTGCTTCCTGTTTCTGGTCAAGTTAGCAATACATCATACGCACAAAAGCCACATGTTTGCCACATCTGAGGACAAGGGAAGGAATTTTCAAAATTTCTCCGTGACTTCAGTGCTTTCAGTAGTCCCCCTTTTCTCATGGACCGAGCCCTGTGGTAGGGAATCAGAGCAGGGTCTGTAGGTCTGAGCTGCTCCTCAGAAGAGTGAGAACCCTTCTGCAGAAAAGCTTGTCTGCTGCAAACAGTGAAGCTGAGGCTGTGGGAATGGGGTTTTCCCCAAAGTGCTTTGCTGTTGATGTTGCTGAAAACATGTGGCATTGTGCAAAGGAGCAGCCTGGACTTTTTTTTTTTTTTTAGTACAGGATTGTTGTCAAAAATTACCTTCTTCAAAAAGCTAGGAAATAAGAGAAGGAGAAAGGATGAAAGAGTGAAGTGACTTGGAATCTGACAGAAAGCGTGGATGCTGCTGCTTGGCTCAGGAAATTGTTTCAGTGAAAGCTATTTAGCATTTTTATAACTGATGGCAAAATTGCACACTATTAATGGGCTCTCTCTATGGCTATAATTTATTCTTATTTCTCAGAGGCAACAGAGTAGAGGCCAGATTCCTTTATCCTGTGGTATTAAAAAGCCTGGGGCTGAGGAGTTTAGCATGGCTTTGTCAGGATTTTCTCCATCTGGCAAAATAATAGAATAAAATCATCCTAGGCAGAGAGCTTCTTTATTTTTTTTAAAGAATGGTCTTTCTCTTTCAATTCAAAGCCTTCAGAAAAAGGGGGGTGGTGGTATGTGTGAGTAAATGCATATTTTCACTCATTAGCTGCCTTTTCTATATTCAGGAGCTATCACTCCCGGCTGCCACACTTGCTTAAACTTCTCTGGGCATTAGTCATGTGTATCGAGGTGAAGGCAAATAGAGGTTAAAAACCCTATTCAGGGACATGAGAGATTTATCGGGTCCAGGGGGTGTGGTGGTGCAACTTCTCCCCCCATCTCTTGAGCTGCTCCGTGCTCGGTGTGATTCCCCCCCACCCCAGGCCACAAGCCAACCCCCAATGAGCTGGGAAAGGCAGTGAACCAGAGTGTTAAGGCACCCCCTTAGCACACCTGGCTCCCACCCCGTCCCCTATCACTGAAGAACAATAATGACAATCAATCACCATCTGACAGCCTAGTACACCTATACTTGGGTTGTGGCCCAGCGGGGATGATACCAGCACTCCAAAAGCTACCAAGTTCTGGGACTCTGCACCTGGTGGAAAATAACAGAATATTCCATCAACCAAGTTGGGCTGAAATGGAAAAGTACTTGATGAAAGACCCTGTAAGTAGCGACTCTGAGTGAGACCCTTTGGGCTCTCCTGGGTGGCAGCAGGCTGGGACCAGCATCTCCCCTGAGCTGGGACACCTCTCAGGCACAGACTCCTTGAGGTCTGAAGATCATCTGCCCACAAAGCCAATGACAGGCCAGGGCCAAGTCAGACTTCTCGAGATTCAATTATTGCCCGTTGAGGAATACCGACGCATTGTGACTATTTGCTCCAATCTTGAGAAAAGGGAAATTTTAACTAGAGACTAATCTCTCCCATCCACCTCTCTACCTCTCTATGTGCTTGAATATGCACATTTGCCTCCACAAGTGTGGAAGTCTATATATTTCACCGGATATCCAAATATTTTCACACTGTGTGCTTTGTGTTTATACATATGCCCACATATATATATATATATATACTTTGATTTAGAATATCTTGCAATATGTTAGTGTGAATCTTGTAATTCTCAAATCTGTAATTAAGTCACTGTTTTATTTATAACATATTCTACCAGATCACCTTGTCAATCTTTAAATTGGTCAATCATTAAGTGCTTTGATCCACCTCACACTATTAAAAAATCTTGATTTACTGCTAAACCATAACTGTGTGAATTACTTTCATCCACAACAGAGGGATGAGGTCCAAGTGGAGGTTACAGTGTCATAGGCTGTAAGCTGACTCTTATAAAAATAAATTTATCCTCTTTAAAAGGAGAAAATAAAGAAGAAAGAAAGAAAGAAAGAAAGAAAGAAAGAAAGAAAGAAAGAAAGAAAGAAAGAAAGAAAGAAAGAAAAAGAAAGAAAGAAAGAAAGAAAGAAAACATGCATTTAGTTTTCTTATTTTCTTTTTTCCCCCCAAAGAATTAACAGTAAAAGGAATTTTTGTTTTCATCAATGTTTGTCAAAATAGAAAATAGGTATCTCTAGCAGCGAATCATATCAATTGCTCATGACTCTTTGCAAGTTTCTTGTGTATTTGGAAGTCACCTTGTCAATGGGACAAAACCTCACCAATATGTACCGTTAGTTTCTGGTGACATAACACAAGTAACAAATGACTACTATTAGGAGTATTTTGAGTGTGCTCACACTAACTAAGCTACATCAGTTGACAACATCAGTGAAGCTTGAATAATAAAACATTGGGTTTCTGAAGCCAGAAACTAAATCTATGACTAAATGTTTTGATGTGAATAGTTCAACAAGCTCTAATCATGTAAAGGAAAGGTACAGGCATGCAAGGGGAAAAACTCAACCACCAGTGAAAGTAGACCTTAGCAGGATCTCAGGGATGAAGGGTAAAGAGGAAAGAGTGAACTGGTACCAGCTTTTGCAACTTTGTGGTCCCTTCCCTCCCTACATTGTAAGAATCAAATTTCAGATAAATTCCCATGTTACTGCAGTTCATGGAATAAGAGGGCCTGAGATTACTCTTTTATCCATCATTATCTAAGCTTTCCAGTAAGCCAAAGAAGCTCAAATAACATCTACCCTATCTGGACTGCCCAAACACCACAGCTCTCAGTTGAGGACCAGATCTGAAATTGTGTCTGGGAAAGTCTGGACCTCAGATTGAAATCTTGGATTTTTTCAGAAAGTTAAGGCATTAGAGGAATGTGTTCTGATGTCATGCAGAGTACTGTCAAACAGATAGGACAGGATTTGAGGAAAATGTTTTGTGATGAACTTTGTTATGTGGCTACATTTGCAACTAGATTACTATTTTAATATTTCTTATGAAAAGGTCTAGCAGTCCCAGGTGAGAACAGAGGCTGAACACTGTGCATATACAAAATCTCTGCCCCAAAGAGCTTAATATTTAAATAGAAAAGATGGATAAATAGTGAAAAGGAAGACACTTAGAAGTAAATTGCATAAAGTTTGTAGCAGAATGCAGCACAGAAATATCCTGTAAGTCCCCTATCTCCTACATCCTGTCCCAGACTTGTAGTTACCAGCCTGAGAGTCAATGATTTCCTTATCTTTGCTTTCATATGATCTGCCCATAAACCTACTCCAGAGTTGTGGTTGCATGCTCCAGTTGTAAAGAAAGTCTTGATTACAGACATTGACTGTTAGCTTTTTGGAAAAGCCACGTCAAAACACTACTCTGTAAAATTCATTTAACAGGATTTCTCCATCTCCTGAGCACAGGCACCTTGCCAGTAGTCTGTTAGCCAAAAGTCTTGATATTGCGTGTTCTTCCCATAATTTGGTTACGTTTTAATCTGTATTTACACAATACTGTTTTGAGGAACCACTGCAGGTCTGTGGGTTATGTGCTGGATAGTCCAACAACAATCCTGCCCTGAGCCAAACCGGAGGAATCTGTCAGGTGTGGGTCTTGCAGTGTTTTAGGTTTCGTTCAGGGACACTCACAAAGTTCCTTGTTTACCCTAGCAACGAGGTAAGATAGGAAAATTAAAACAAGGTGTTGCCTATTAAAAGCAGGCTACTGTTGTTCAGAGAAAGGTAAGTCTGGGCAGCAAGAGGAAGTCAGAGAGCTGCTCACATATCATCATTGTACCTCAACACCCCAAGAACGTTTTCATTGGGAAGAGAAATTTCATTCAAGAATTTAGGATGATTAAGTGTTACTGATACTCGGTCCTTCACCTTCAGGTATGTCAAATGGAGTTGGAACAAGGTCTTAAAAGTCTTTTCGTGGCACGTTTCTGATGCGCACCATGTGGATAATGTTTGCCTGTTGACTTTGTCATTCACAAGAAATTCTATCTTGAGGTCGGTGGGGCTATTTGAACAGTTGGGAAAATGAAAGTTCAAATGGCAATAGATCAAGTAGAGGCCTTGTTCCCTTATCACCAGCTCTTCGCTCTTGCATTGGATGTCTTCACAAATACCCTTCTCGACCAAGCTCAGTTTTGAACTGTTTACTGGATTGGACACTAGAAAGGAAAGCAAACAAATTTTAAAATGAGCCACTGAGCTCTAGTGACCTGCACTCAGCCTTACGTGACTTGCAGCAGTGTATTTCCTGGTAAACGGAAATACCTGTTCCGTGTTTTTCCTGCAGGAAGCTTCAAAAGAAGCCTCTGACCAGGTGGCTGGGAGTTTCTACCTGGAAGTGGGGTGTTAAAAAGCTCCAAGGACTTACACAGCCCTTGGAAAACCCAGGATGGGAAGATACAATGAAAATGGTCTTCTGCAGTATTTGAAGGGAAAAAATGGAGATTCATATTCATGTGTTTGTGGGCAGAAGATCTCTCTTTATTAATTTTTCTTATAAAAAGTTTTTAAAAAGTTTATGTGATCAGATAAGGGGTTTTCCAGACACACCCACATTTTAGGAAAGCTAAGGATTTTTTCCTAATAAAATGCCCATTTGGTCAAGAGGTTGTTTGCCGCTAAAATCACTTTGAATAACATGAACGGCCTGCTCTTCAGCCAGCTCCATAGTCTCTCTTTGCTGGCTCTTGTCCTCCACTGGGCTCCCCACTGACCTCTCATGTACGCAGCGGCTCTCCTGGTCGGGACATTCTGTAGGATTCTTAAATAGTCTTCGGAGGTGTTCCCTGAAGGAAACAACAGATTAAATGACCACTCCTGATTGGTTTTGCACTGTAAAATGCTGTCAGCATTTGGCACCTCACTTTTTTATTTACTGTAACTGTGCCATGGACAAACTCCACAGCAGCAGCTCCAAAGCACCAAGGAGCAGCAGCTAGAACAGCGTCAGAGAGCTGGTTCTTGCCTGATAATATCTGATCTGCACAGGGAATTCATAGCAGTGTAACTCAATCGGTAAAGTTCTAACAGCCTAAAGCTATGGTAGGTTGCAGCTATCAGTCAAAAAAAAATTGTATTTTTTTATCCTCTTTTAGATAAACAGAAATTATGTGCAGGTGAGCTTAATTTAACGGAATTGTCTTTGTGGTGCAATTATAAAAGAAGCTTTTAAACGTTCAACTGGAACAGACTTCTGAAAATGGCTCTTTGGGTGCTTTTTAAGCGTTGCTCTGACCTCTCACGGTCGAAAGGCGGATGCCGCCAGGGCTTTGGGCGAGGCTGTCGGCAGTTCAGAGCCCAACCCTGCCTGCGAGCGGCCGCCACAGCTCCGGGCAGGGAGGGCAGGCGCAGCGCCAGCGCCTCGCCTCCACGCCAAAGGCGGCAGCGGAGCCCCGGGAATGTCCCCGGGGGCCAAGCGCC